CAAAATTAATGCCGAACTGCTGCGAATGGAAAGGCTGAATGTTGCTAAATTGCCGGGTACTTTCGAAGATGATGTTACAAGCGCTCAATTATGGTCTCAGGAAAATCTGGAGTTTCAAAGTGCCAGTGAGCTAGCAAGGATGTTTTGATCATAAATGATGCCAAAAAGCAAGATAGCTAGGTAAGTATAAAGTTTTGGAAGTGGCAGGAATAAAAAAAATTCACAGTGGCGCTATGCCTATGTATTGTCTTGTAGTCAAGAAACTCTAGGCTCCAAAGTCCCTTGAACAGAACGCCAAATAGACACACGGAGGGTGGAAAAACGGGGATCGTGTTGTAAATCGGCAATTCCGGTGAATAATGCATATAGACAAGAGAGAGAGAGAGAGAGAGAGAGAGAGAGAGTGACATTGAAAGAGAGCAGCTAGCGGAAAAGGACGAATATGTGATGTCGAATAGTATATACAGGCCCGGGCGGAAGCGTGGAAAAATTGATTTTTGGTCCAGATGCTTGAAACGGACTCCCAGAAATCATTTGAAACCTGTTTCATACAATTAAAATCAACACAATATTCCTCGCACCAATCCAAAAAAATACCGTAAATTTAACGACAGTGTGATACCCAAAGCGCAACGTGCTCGGGCTATTTTGGGGTGGGGCTGAGCGGGGCGAGGCGTTTATTGAGCGATTCGGTTTGGGGTGGGGAGTGTGGCGGGATACGGTAGTTACGAGAGGAGCTCGACCTCTCGGCGCCTTCCTTTCACCCCCCCCAGGATCGTCCACGCCCTGTTCACTAAAAGGTGGAAAAGCGAGGGGAGGCAGTGATAAGAGATAAAGAAAACGATAGAGAGAGAGAGAGCAGAGAGAGAGAAACACAGCGAGAGAGACGAGCAGAACATTTACTCTGAAACGGTTCAGGATGGTCAAAACGGGCTGAAAATAGGCTGGAGGGGTTGGAAAAATTATAAAGGCGTCGGCATTTTAATTTTAAATTGTGAATGGGAGCGAGCGAGAGAAAGCGAGAGCGAGAGAAAGAGAGCGATAGAGATAGAGAGCGAGAGTGAACGGGAGAGAACGAGAGAGAGAGAGAGAGAGAGAGAGAGAGAGAGAGAGAATTTATTAACTCAAAATCTAAATCGATAAAATTGAAGTCCTATGACGAAATCGTCCACTAAACACGCCACGATGCGCCCGATTCCGCCGTCTGCCGTTGAAACGGGGGCGTTTTTCAACGGAAAATCAGCAACATATTGTATCGAGCCACTCCACTTTTCGCGAAACCACTTTCATCCCCGCCGGGCACGACACGGCCGGAGGTTGTAATGAAAACGGTGAGGCAACGGAGAATATTTACTGCCCGCAGGGCCCCGGCACGTCGATATGGATCATCAAATGTCTATGATAAGGATGATGTATATGTATTGTAACGTTACGAAATCCTTCAAACGGAAGAGTCGATACGAAACGGGGATCCGGGAAGGCGGGCGACGCGGTTGGACCTGGTTTTCTTGGGGGACTAGAAGTTGGGAGCTTAGATGATCAAGGATCGCGGATCAAACTTGAGTTTCCGCTTTAGCTTGAACGTAGTAAATCATTTCAGATGAAAAAATCACGGAAATGAACCGAGTATTCTTCTCGGAAACAAGGAGCTGGGAGCTAATTGCTTGAACGGTTGAATCGAACGAAGCACTGAATTTGCGATTGGTTCTACTTTCCAATAGTTCCAGTTTCTTGGAGTAAGGGTAAGGGTGTAGAGCTGGCACTAGGGAGGTGGGAGCTGGAAACTACCATTATCCGGGAGCTTGAGTGTGATCTGGTCATTATTTGGTTTTTTTTTTAAATAATACTTTTCTTTTTTTTTTTGGGGTGGTGGGGTTGTTATTTTTTTTTATTTTGACTAGCTGGGAAGTCAAGCGCTGGGAGCCAAATAAGCAAATTACAAGCCAGAAGCCTTGGATTGAGCCGAAGTTCGAGCTATGTGATGAAAAGCCCTCTTAAAAAATAGACAAGTTCTTGGAACTGCAAATTTGAATACGAATATCGATGAGTCACGCCCAGGATTTGCCCTTCTTACAGTGCAAAATACGCACGGGGGCGCGATTCGAATCTCTTCCCGCCCCCGCTCCTCATCGGTCGCAGCACACACACGCACACACACGCATCCAAAACCGTATCTGATGGTGTTTTGATAGGGTGACAAGGGAGAGAGAGAGAGAGAGAGAGAGAGAGAGAAAGAGAGAGGGAGAGAGAGGAGAAGCTCCAGTGACAGACAAGGACGAGTGCTTGCAACACGAAAAGCTAGAGATAGAGATAGTATGCCAGAGAGAGAGAGAGAGAGAGAGAGAGAGAGAGAGAGAGATAAGGAGTAAAGTCCAGTTCTTCCTCCTCCTGTGAGCATTCGTTCGGCGCGGCTCCTTTTCGGGACGAACGAGCAGCGGCCACACCCAGCCCCGAGCTCTGATCACCCGATGATGGCTATACTTGGGAGGAGGAGCAGGAGAATGTGTCGAGGAGCACGAGAAGGAGGAAGAGATTGGAGGGGCGGTTTCTGTATTTATCTGTTTGTCGAAATATCTCTCTATCTCACTCTATCTCTCGCTCTCTCTCGCCTCATTTGCAGCTCTCTCTCTTTCACTCTCTCGTCATCTCACCCTGTCTCTCTCGCTCTCTCGCTCTCTCTCTCTCTCTCTCTTTGCCCCGTTCTCTAGCCCAAAAGTCGAAAAAATGGAACGCGTAAGAGCCCCTCCCTCGCCCTGGCGCCGCGTGTAAACAAATCGGGAACAATTCCCGTGGGGGCAAAGAGAAGCCACCACCACCCCCAAGAATGGGCAAATTTCGGCGATTTTTCACGGCAGGGAGTGGCAAGAAAATGGGTGTAGCTTTCTGGAATCCGTTTAACAGTAATACAATAGTCCCAAAAAGGGTACAACTATTTGGAGAACGGGAAGTAAGGAACGTATTTTATTCAGTCTTCATAAAAATATAACGCTCTCGGATGTAAGAGAAGTCTGTAAGAAATTGGCATATAAGGACAGTGATGTGAAATTTCGCTTGAATCGGCTGGCTCTGGAGCGTATGATTACGTGAAAATTCAGAGTATGCTCTCCCTTGGAAGTACAACAATCGTACACGAAACGGAAGCACGGCTGAATCGACAAAGGATGGGGGTGTAGTCGGGGGCGAAATTTGGCCTAGAAGTTAGGCCACGCGGGTTTATTTCCGAGTTTTTGTCAATGTGTCGACAAGGTTTATTCTTAATTACTTATATACATACCAGAACCATTTAAAAAGAATTGAAAGGTATCGAAATGCCATGGTGACGTATGTTTTTATAAATTCCAATCGGAAACTGATTTCGCTCAGCCTAGGAAGGCAGATGGCATTAAAAATCCAAGGTGTACGCAAGCGTATACTGGTGTGGCGCGTAGTTTCCAGTGCGTAACGCGGAATGTGGTCGTGTTGCGCACAGTCCATAACTTGCGGAAGTCGCCCTATGCAAGCCATTAGTTGTAGAGGAACTTTTCGGAATTTCTGGCCTTCTTGCCTGCCAAAATCCGGCGGGTCAAAATATAAAAAATGGGCCCCCGGAACGCAAAGTGTTTCAGTGTAGCAATGTGGCAGCATGGTCAGCATGGCCTGCCTGCCGCCGATTCGCAGCAGGAGTTCTGGAGTAAACAGACGACCACACCACCACACGACACATACACAGCAGGACATGGCAATGATAGCTAGCGTCAGAAAAAAAATATTATTACGAGTGTATCGTTGCGGAATTGAGGCCAAAAACTGTTTTTTTTTGATGTTTTGAAGGAAAATTCGTAAGTTTACTCTTAGAATCGCATAAGCGACAATGCGGTGGGGTATCAGATTTCGTAGGAACATCCCGGTAGTATAGCGCTAAATTGACAGTAAGTTAACGGATATACGTTTGAAACTCGAATGTACTTAACAACGTCCGTGAAAAAACCGGCGCCCACCCCCTGACAAGAATCATAACCGTCGGCAAATAGATGGGTGGAGTGAGTGTCGGGGGGCTGGTAGGCTGCTACACGGGCTACGATGATGTACACAGAACGGTGTTCCGTCTTTTTGAGAGTACGCTGCGACAATCTGAACGTGCTGATTCTGTGAACGGGGATATTTCGAGGAAACGAGAAGCAAAGTCCGGCTCTAGCCCTCGAAAATTTAATCAAAATCGAAGGGATTAAGAATCCTGGAGCATTATATTGATCTTACCGCCATTTAATAATATATACAGGATGTCCAAAAAATACAGCGCCGATCAAACAGGCCAAAAACGGCAATTTGCCGGGAAGGGCAAAAGCGTCCATAGGGGCGGGGCGTAGCGCGCGCTGGCGGTTAGAATGATACCAAAGACAGCAAGTTAGCCTCCAAAGTACCACTTTTCACTAAGTCGCCAACAAAAATCGCCTTGGTTTTGATATTTTCTGAATTCAGTATTATTAGTGCTTGGTATCATTAGAATCGTCGTGTTCCATTCTACAAAATTGGAACGAGCTTTTATTTTAGTTTAGCTTTAGTTTTTAAATTATAAGGCTTAGAAGTTTTGGCCCCATACATTTTTGAGTCGATAGGAGTGCAGCGTTGCTTAGAGCCTGATTGCCGCTAATTTTGGGCATGTGTTGTTTTGTGGCCTTTCTTTTCCCGTTTTTGCCGCTTCTTCCAAATTTCTACGCTTTCCAAACGTACCTTATTTCGCCGATACAAAATTTCTTTTTCAGGCACGATGCTGCTTGATTTTCTGAGCTGCCCGGGATGCGAGCGGAAGTACTGCAGTGTGCCTGACCGAGCCCACACGCCGATGTGGCAGTGGTACGACCAGAAGATCTTGTGTCGAAGTTGCGATCGCCGTAGGGCTGTGCCAAGGGGCTACCGCAACGAGTCTTCGGTTGTAGCCGATTTTGTGCTGAAGTATCTCATTCGAGCCGGTCTACAATGTTGGCATGGGTGTGGAAAGGACAAGGAGCACGTCATCGGCTATGTCGTCGAGAAGCCACTGCCCGACTATCAGTGTCACTTTTTGCCAATCCCCGCAGGTAAGGGGCGAATTCCGCAACACTTTGTTACATTCATTTTGCCTAAACTCGGTTCGCTGATTACCATTACTAGCATTTTCATCGCTAAATTTCTTAAAAAAATCAAGACACGACGTTTTTCGACACTTTAAAAATATTTCAGTAAAGTCTTAAATCAAAGCCTTGTAAATTGCTTCAGCAAATTTTTTACACGAATCTCTAAGATCCTTCTTGAAAATTAATAAAAACTGACAATAATTTTGAAAAATGTTGACTTTTTGTTCAAAAATACGGCAATGAAAACGACTCATATAAGGGTCATTTTGCCTTCTGAAATCCAAATTTTCAAGTTTTCCTATTCTTTCTAACATGGATTGGTTTTCAATGAACATATATGGATGGATTGCTTTCCTAGATTAATTGTTTCAGGAATCGCTGGATACCGCCGACATACTTGTTTGCGGTCACGTGGTCTGCTACGTCTGCCAGGCGGCCAATTCCGAGGCGTTCTACTGCCCGCAATGCCAAAGGGGTCGCTCCCCGCCAGGGACAGACACCCGTGTGGGGCGCTTCTACCAGCGACACGAAGAAATCAACCAACAGCTGAGAAAGGAGTGTTGCGCGGACGAGGACGAGGTAAACTTTGCTTTCTGATTTTGCCGGGATGTGGGTTTTCGCTGCTTTTTGAGGCATTGGTGCTTTCGAAAAGTTTAAAAGTTTTCAAAGGGATTCATTATGGTTTGTTTTCTTGCGCAGGCGTACTTGGCTGCTAAAACTGCTCGGCCGGGCCGTATTTCGACTCAGCCTTCCGATGTATACTGTTCATTTCAGGAGATCCCGCAGGACATCACTATTCCAAAAGTCGAGTGCTTCCGGTGCAAGAGAGTGGATTCGATCGACGAGTTTTGGCACTGCAACGACTGCTCGGAGAGTATATGCTGCACCTGCTGCCTGAAGCTGCACAGGCTTCACAATATCGTGTCGTTGGCCGGACCGGAATTGACCAAGTTGGTTTAATTTATACATTTATACGTAGATTTACCATATTGACTTTATGAAACTTCGCAAAACTTCGGCTTTAATACTTACATGATAATTGGGGGGGAGGGTGGTATAAACCAATTCATATTATATATTTTATACCAATTTACATATTTTCTTTACAGGTTGACGAAGCAGACGATCGGCAAGCTGGACGGACACTACGAGGGCCTCGGAAAGAACATTGCCGGCCTGCACGAAGAGATGAAAGAGGGCATCGGCGAGCTGGTCGAATGCCATCGCAACGCACTGACCAAGGTGGCCGAGCAGTCTACCTACGCGGCCGGCGCGCAGATGAACGGCGCAATGTGGGCGATTGCCGAAGAATTCGAAGGAAAATGCGAAGCCTACTTACCCCACGCCCGCATCTACAACGACCAGCTGCGCGATTTGAAGGAGAAGCTGGAGATCCTCGCCAAGAAGGAATAATTGATTTAGGGAAATCGCCCATTTATTTACTTTATGTACTGCGTCTTTGTTTTTGCTTTGTTATGATGATCTTGATAAATTTCTGCCGCAAAGAACGTGTTTTGAAGCTAAGGAAATAGTCTGAAACAATGTGAATATCTCCAGCTATTTGTGGTTCAGTGTAGCTAGGCGGCTGCGGAAAAGAACGTACATGAATAGCGCGGTTTTGTTACCTTTCCTTTTGACCCTTATTCCGAATTTCTGCCTTTTCTGACGCTCAAAATGATGAGAAAAAGGGTCGATAAGAAAGGTAACAAAACCGCGCAATTCATGACAGTTTTTTTAATTGCGTTCCCTCGCCATTATTCCTTGTCAGGCACGATGCTGCTCGATTTTTTGAGCTGCCCGGGATGCCAGCGGAAGTACTGCAGCGTGCCTAATCGTCCGCATTCGCCCGTATGGTCCTCAACCAAGGATACATTGCTCTGCCGCACCTGCGATAATAAGCAGCTAGCTTTCGTCTACAACTACGAAGGCTTTGAAGCTTATTTTGTGCGGCGCTACATGGAGAGAGTTGGGTTCCGATGCTGGCATAGCTGTGGAGAGGACAAGGATCATCTCATCGGATACACCACCGAGAAGCCCTTACCCAATCACGTCTGCCACGAATGCGGCACAGTCCAGGTTAACTTTTCAAAAACCGTTTAAAATATTTTGGTCTGTTGGCATTTGATTCCCGCGTTTTTAGTGCTTATTTTATGATAAAATAACTCGTCATTTCCAGAATTCATTGGACACTGTCAACTTGCTCGTTTGCGGACATCTAATCTGCTACATGTGCCAAAAAAAACAGCCGTCGACATACCACTGCCCACTATGCAATTGCGAACGCATGGTCAATCGAAACGGTGCTGCTGCAAAATTCTATAAGCAATACAACGAGGCCAGCCGGCAGCTGAAAGGCGAACCCAGCGAAGTTGGTGATTTCATCGTGATTATCATTATCATTTAGGTACCGTTGGAGTTCATCGAAATGCCAAAACTCGAGTGCGGCCGTTGCAAGAAAGCGGATTCGATCGACGAGTTTTGGCACTGCAACGACTGCTCCGAAGACTTCTGCGGCAGTTGTGGAATGAGATATCACAAGCTACACAATGTCGCCTCATTAGCCGGACCGGAATTGGCCAAGTGGGTTCTAGTTATTATAGTAGCTTGGTTTGATCAAATTCGCAAAAGCCTCGGCTGGTACTTTTGTAGGCGTTTCCGTGCTAGCGAGGGAGCAATTTTTGGCAGGGAGCAAAGCACATTTTTTAATTGAGCTGGTGCCTGCCTAGTAATTAATTAAAGCATACTTTAATAAGGTTTTTAGTAGTTTCCGATCAATAAAACACTATTAGCAATTCATTAGGTCATTTTAAAAAGCCGAATTTTTGAACAGTTGGGGTCATTTTCATACGTTCTAAGCTAGTCTATGTTTGTTTATGGTCATTTTATGTTCAAAACCGTGTAAAATGCGATTAATCTTGTTATAATAAATCGCATTCCTGCGCCGCTAAGACGCCATCGCAAAAAAATTGCCTTACTCCCACGCTAATACGCAAGCACCGTTTTGTCATAATTTATAGGGCGTTATGAACCAATTTATTTTATGGATTTTACACCAGTTTACATATTTTCCTTTCAGGTTGACGAAGCAGACGATCGGCAAGCTGGACGGACACTACGAGGGCCTCGGAAAGAACATTGCCGGCCTGCACGAAGAGATGAAAGAGGGCCTCGGACAGCTGGTCGTATGCCATCGCAACGCACTGACCAAAGTGGCCGAGCAGTCTACCTACGCGGCCGGCGCTAAGATGAACAGCGCAATGTGGGAGATTGCCGAAGAATTCGAGCGGAGATGCGAAGCCTACTTCCCCCACGCCCGCATCTACAACGACAAGCTGCGCGATTTGAAGGAGAAGCTGGATCTCCTCGCCAAGAAGGAATAATTTATTGACCGAAATTGATGACTTATTTATGTTATTTACTGCGCCTTTACTTTTACTTTGTTATGATGATCTTGATAAATTTCTGCCTCAAAAAAACGTGTTTGAAACCTATGGAAACAGTATCAACACTTTGAATATCTCCATCTATTTGTGGCCCAGTGTAGCTAGGCGGCTCCGAGAAAAACTGGCATGAATTGCGCGGTTTTGTTACGTTTTTTATCGACCCTTTTTCTCAACAGTGAGAGTAAACAAATGCATTGTGAAAAAGACAGCAAGTCAGACAAAGGGTCGATAAGAAATGTAACAAAACCGCGTAATTCATGTCGGGTTTTTTTTTGAATTGCGTTCCCTCGCTATTATTCCTTTTCAGGCACGATGCTGCTCGATTTTTTGAGCTGCCCGGAATGCAAGCGGAAGTACTGCAGCGTGCCTAATCGTCCGCATTCGCCCGTATGGTCCTCAACCAACGGCACATTGTTCTGCCGTACCTGCGATGATAAGAAGCGAGCATCCGCCTACGGTTACGAAAGCTCTGAAGCTTATTTTGTGCAGCGCTACATGGAGAGAGCCGGGCTGCGATGCTGGCATAGCTGTGGAGAGGACAAGGATCATCTCATCGGATACACCACCGAAAAGCCCTTACCCAATCACGCCTGCCACGAATGCGGCACATTCCAGGTAAGCTCTTCAAAATCTGTTTAAAACATTGGGTCTGTTGGCATTTGATTTCCGCGTTTTAGTGTTTATTTTACCATAAAATAACTCGCCATTTCCAGAATTCATTGGACACTGTCAACTTGCTCGTTTGCGGACATCTAATCTGCTACTTGTGCCAAAAAGTTCAACCGTCGACATACTACTGCCCAGTATGCCAGCACGGACGCACAGTCAGTCCATACGGCACTGCTCCCAATTTCTACAAACAATACGACGAGGCCAACCTTCAATTGAAAGCGGCGGCAGGGGAGGTTGGTACCTTTTACCTTAATTATAATGATCATTTAGGTACCGTTGAAGTTCATCGAAATGCCAAAAGTCGAGTGCGTCCGGTGCAAGAGAGTGGATTCGATCGACGAGTTTTGGCACTGCAACAACTGCTCGGAGAACATCTGCTGCAGCTGTGGAATGAGGCATCACAGGCTACACAATGTCGACTCGTTGGCCGGACCGGAGTTGGCCAAGTTCGTTTATTTATGTAGCCTTTTGCAACATTTACTAAAAAACCTGTCCAAGAGGACATGTCGCCGGTTTTACCAGTTCCCCGGTAACTTCGGTTTGAATACTTCCGTGATAATTTGAGCACGTTTTAAGCCAAGTGTCATATGTTTTTTCAGGTTGACGACGCAGACGATCGGCAAGCTGGACGGACACTACGAGGGCCTCGGAAAGAACATTGCCGGCCTGCACGAAGAGATGAAAGAGGGCCTCGGCGAGCTGGTCGAATGCCATCGCAACGCACTGACCAAGGTGGCCGAGCAGTCTACCTACGCGGCCGGCGCAACGATGAACAGCGCAATGTGGGCGATTGCCGAAGAATTCGAGCGAAAATGCGAAGTCTACTTCCCCCACGCCCGCATCTACAACGACCAGCTGCGCGACTTGAAGAACAAGCTGGAGGTCCTCGCCAAGACGGAATAATTGATTGACGGAAATCGCCCATTTATTTACTTTATGTACTGTATATTAGTTTTTGCTTTGTTATGATGATCTTGATAAATTCCTGCCTGCAAAGAACGTGTTTTAACTCGATAGAATTAGTCTGAAAGGCTTTGCATTTCTAAAGGTTTCACTATGGGCGGTTCGAGCGACGACGTGCAATAAATCGAGGACGCTCGCTGGACGGTTACTTTCTTTATTTGAAATGTGTTTTTTAGGTTGATCATGAGACTCTAGTTGATATTCAAGCCCTTTTGCGCAGAGTGCCGCTTGGTTGCCAAGCTTCCAGGAGGACATTTCAGCCAAATGGAAGCGGCATGCTCCGAGGAAAAGTTTGTATTTTGCAACTTCAATGGCATTAGACTCTTGTCGGCAACACTAAAAGGTTCTTTAGCATTATCGTGGGGGAACCCAACGTATTCGTATGGCTAAAAGAGCTAACGACTTAACAGAAAGTGTTTTAATAGTTGTTAGTAATATAGATCTATTTCAACTAGAAAAACTTTAACAGATGTTTGAAAAAGCGAAATTTTGGTCAAATATCAGCCATTTTAGTCGAAAATCTATATTTTTTATTTTTTACGAATAATTTGTAAATTTATTACGATTAAGAATAGTAAAAAACCATTTAGAATCAAAAAACTTGGTCTCCCCCCCCCCCGATAATTCGAAAGGACCCACTAAAACGATGCATCCAATTCTTTTGAATGTGGAAAATGGAAGAAACTCAGGTGACTCGAAGCCGACCAGTTTTTAAGATAACTCTCTCGGGTGCGGTGGTAAATTCGGGGCGTGTTTCGCTAAGTCGGCCGGCATGTGGCTGTCTTATCGCAGAAGCCTCCCCGTTTTTCGGGGCCCTAAACAAAAGGAATACTGTAAAGGTTAATGACAGGCCTGAGCGTTTCTGCTAAGCTAAGATTCACAATGAGGCGGACCAACTATCAAACAATGAAGCGATCCCGTCGAAGCCGTAAATGGGGAGTTACTGCAAGATGCGAGTTGCAAAAAGTCCTTTGAAAAGGCGATAAGCTGCCTGCATAAATAGCGATGATCGGAAAACCGAGCCGGTGCAACTCCAAGAATGATGCGAAGCGAAGCTTTGCTCTTTTTCGCTGTTGGCTTCTATGGCATGCAGGCGCAGTGCCCGAACGGATACCACTACGTGGACATGACCACACGAAAATACTGCATCACCGTGGGATCAGGTGGGGATAAAACTGAAAATTGAAACTTTTGTAGTGACCCTTCAAATCTTATTTCAGGTCTTGCCACCTTTGCCTCGGCCGAAGCGACCTGCCGTGCTGATGGCGGTCATCTGGCATCGATTCATACGCTGTACGAGAACGGGCTTGTGGGGAACTATGCGAAGACCTG